CACACACACACACACACACACACACACACACACATATATATATATATATATATATTTTTTTTTTTTATGTATATAGATATATGTGGTGAAACCAACCTCGCCACTGTACACTGGAGAAGCCTAGTTGCTCGCCTGCTGCCTTTGGACTATGGCCCCATGTTTAAAGACATCTTTTTCCCTGCAGAAAAGAGACTTATTCGTGCTTTTCTGCCGGTTGTTCGGTAGATTCAATCTACCGAACAACCGCACGAATGAATAGACCACTTGGGAGCTGGAGTGTGCCGGCAATTAACCTCCCTGAAGCTACGGTTAACCGCAGCTTAATTGACGAATGCTGGGTGGCCGCCATTCATATCACGAGCACGAGGTCGCGGCCATTTTAAACATGCGAATGCACAGCGGTGTTCGACACTTAATTCATGGAACTGAAATCGGACACAGTTTTGCGCGAACACCGGTGAAGCCGCCGACCTCCCTTCTTGTTCGGTGAAAGTGCATGAACGGCCCGGTGTTCGGTAGTTTTGTTTGAGTGTGTTGTACCCCAGATAGGAATCCCATGGAGCCCATTCGCATGAAACTGACAGTGTAAAGACTTTGGCTCCATGGCGATTAAACTGTATTTGTGTGGTCTGAGCGCCATTCACTTAATAATGTGCGCTCAGACCTGAGCTATCTGGGGATATGTAGAACGTATATGTTTTATGTACTGAAAGTAACTGTAGGTAATTTTATGTCTTTCACTGTTTGTTTTCTGCCATGTGGTTAATGGAGTTTTGCCTCTGTCTTTGGAGAGAATTGAATTACTTCTCAATTATCTCCAGAGCAGAGATGAGGGATTGTGATGCATTGTGGGATGATTGAAATGTGTAAGTCTGTGATTGGTCCTTTTACCCTTTGTGTCCCAGTCTCCTATTTGGTCCCCTAGGGGAGTGTCCACCAGGTGGGAGACCTGCATAAAAGCCGGGCAGTTAGCCCCAGTAAATCAGTTCCTGCTTAACCCTCAGAGTGAAGTGTTGTCTCATTATTGGGGGAGGATTTACTGTATGCTGTTAGAGACTGATTGCCAGGAGTGTAAGCTGCTTGGGGGCTTTTCCTGTTCGTCTGCTAGCAGCTATTCGTGTTTCACCAGTTCGGGAGTTACGAGTATTCCCTTGGTATGCAGTTCGGGAGTTGGTGAATTCGTGGGTTTGCAGTTCAGGAGATTGGTGCTTGCAGTAGCTGTCGGTGCAGCTGAAAAAGGGGAATATCGCCCAAACGGTTTTTAACCTCTTTTGGGCAAAACGGTCCGTTACAATATATATATCATTTCGTTCTACGTGTATTTTGATATAAATATATATATATTAATATCACAACACAGTTAGAACGAAATAACACATCTATATATTTTTTAATGATTTATTTTTAATTCTTTTTTTAATTTTATTTTTTAACGTATTTACATTTTTTTTATATTATATAGAAATATATATATATTTAAATCAGTATCAGTCTACGTGTAATTTGATATTAATATACATATATATTAATAGTAAAATACACCTAGACAGTGTATGTATATGTGTGTATATATATATATATTCTAAGTATCATTTTTTTTTATTTTTATTTTTTTACACTTAACATTATTTTATTTTGAGCCAGCAGGGGGACTGTCATTACAGGCAGTCCCCCTGCTGGCAATGCAGCAGCCAGCTAACCCAGCCATGTGATTGTGAGGTCCTCGCAAGGACCTCACTCTCTATGAGAGGGGGCTGCAGGAGGTCGGATGTGCTGCGGGGGGCTCCCCTGGCGACCGGGTAAGTAAAAAAAACAAACAAAAAACGGAGGGCGTACTATTACGCCCGGCGGCGTTTAGAGCCGCCTAAAATAGGGCGTAATAGTACACCCTCCGGTCTTAAGGGGTTAATGCTGTAATTTTTGGGGTCTGGAACGGATTAATCAAATTTACATTAAATTCCTATGGGAAATGTTGATTTGGTTTTTGAACAAGTTGGAACTCTAAAAAGCCTTCTGGAACAGATTAAGTTCGAGTTCCGAGGTTCCACTGTATGTACTAAGTGGGTCCTAATTAGTGGTAAAAAAAAAAAAAAAAAAAAAGGAATTCTCAAAAAATGTCCAATGTTACAGATATTATGTCAAAATGCCTGAGCATTGGTTGTTTGTAGTCAAAGCACTGAGTCACTTAGCTAAAGTAAGACACAAGAACGAAGATGGTAACTGTAACAATAAATGTAACAAAAAAAGGCAATCACAATGTTGCTAAGCATGAAGCATTTGCTTTTATCTCATAGGAGCAACTCATACAGTGGCTTAGATTGAGACACCCATGTTTTTGCAATATTGTTTGTAGGGGCATTGTGACTAAACAGTCAAAAGTGGT